TTTCTATATGTTTGATGATCCGGGATGTTTGTTTATTCTTCTTCAAATGCGAAATAAAGTTGACTTTAATTCACTTTGAAATCAGCAAATTTTTGTATGTTAGATGTAATATGGGAAATTTAAGTAATAAACGTCCAAATAAACACTAACATTTCTTCACATATAAAATCTGTTTTGATAGTTTAACCTGTTAAATTTTTATATATGAGAACCATTTTGAATTATTTACAGGTTATAGCACTGAAAAGCGGTTTCTTAAAAAAGGCAAACATATTTTACCGATGTCCGTAGTAGAATTAACACTTCAGAGACGCCCTCTTTACATGGTGTGTAAACTGACTCAAGGTTGAATAACCTTCTTTAGAAAATGCATATACTCAATTCAATATTTTTTTCAGAGCAGATATCATGTTTACTATTTGAATATGATAATGAAAAAATAGAATTATATATTCCCTAATACCAAAAGACAAAGTTCATGAGATATTACAAATCATTACTTTGTTTTGTAAGTATACGCCAATGATAAAGTAGAAAAAAAATCATTTAAAAACAGCAATGTTTATTTTTAAGACAATCCTGCTGATAGTTTATGCTTCTCAAGTCTTAATTAGAGAAAAGCCGAATTTATGTACGGTTTTTCTCTTTTCAGATACTGAACATTTTTCTTCCTACCATTTTGCTGGGACTTTTGATCGTAGCAGCGTTCAAAGTTCCACCTGAAAGCGGAGAACGACTAGGATATTCTCTTACCACTCTTCTCGCTTACGCCGTTTATCTAACAATGGTGTCAGATCATCTACCCACTGTCTCACTCAACATCGCCTATATAAGTAAGGATGTATATGCATATTTGGGAACTTAAACTTTAGTTATTATTGGTGGAGCTTTCAGAATATACTAAGCAAAAGCATGCACAGAAATGCTAACCGACAGGCTTCTCTATCGTTTTCCTTTGTTTGCAATTAGATACTTTTTTGATTAAACTTTTGATTTTCGATATGTAAAGAGTATCTCCAACCGGTCACAGTAACCTAGTGGTAGAGTGTTCGCTTCGTGATTGGGAGGCCCAGGTTCGATTCTCGTTCGGTGCGTCGTGTCAAACCTTAAACGTAATCAGAGGTGGTGAATGTTCTTTCGTCAAGCGCCCGGTATTAGAAGTGAAAGTCACTGGTCTTTCCGACCTTTTTTAAAAGAAAAACGAGGTCCCGTGTCACAGCAAGCATTAGCACGATAAAGAACCCTCACTGCTCGATGTCCTTGAGTGCCGAGTATAGGTCTAAATTTGAAGCCCTTCACCGGCATACGGTGACGTCTTTTGATAAATGAAAAATTCTCAAATGGGATGTTAAATAATATGAATTTCATGATCCCACTGAGGTGGTCAAAAAATGTGAAATCCATGTGTTTAGTAATTTGCAATGCCCAAGTAAGCTAGGAAGATCATTTGATGGATTGCATTAAACCTTTTTAAAAATCATGGACATTTAGTAGGCAAATTACTTGCATAATAATTAAGATGCTGTGATACCTCTCTCTCCAAACTGAGAAATGTGTCTTCTGTGAGACAGGGTTAACTTGATTGATTGATTAATTTTGTTGTTTTACGTCACGTTCCAGAATATTTTACTCATATAGAGACGTCACCACGGTGAAGGGCTTAATTTAGACTTTTACTTGGCACTCTTTGCCATTGAGCAGTGAGGGTTCTTTATTTTGCCAACGCATACCTGACACAGGGTCTCGGTTTTTTTTAGTTGTTTAACGTCCCTCTGGAGAATTTTTCACTCATATGGAGACGCCACCACTTGTCAGTAGAGAGCTGCAAATTTTGACCTCTACTCAGCACTCAGGGCCATTGAGCATTGAGGGATCTTTTTCGTGCCAGCACCTACTACGACACGGGACCTCGGTTTTTACGGTGTCATCCGAAGGACCGGTCTCGACGTCCCACAGTGAGATTCGAACCCGCGACGTAAGGATTAACTCCTTACTCCGCGACTCTAGACGTAAAGATCAACTCCTTACTCCTCGGCTCTAGAGCGAACCCGCAACTTTTACTTCAAATTGCCGAGCGCTTGGCGAAGGAACAGTTGCTACCTATTTTATTTTTATCGACTTAGGCAAGTCCACCACACGACTTTCCGAACACGGAGCGAGCGCTCTACCGACTGAGCTACCGTGACGGTGGGTTAAAATGATGAACAACTTGTAAGAACATTTCCCAATCCAAAACTTGTAAAAATCATACTTCTGGGTCAGGAGATTAAGCCAAAGCTTGGGACAAAGTTAATATAGAAATAAAGGGGGGAAACTTCTTTATCATTCCTACTCGTAAACTCAAATATAGATTTTATATATATATATATATATATATATATATATATATATATATATATATATATATATATATATATATATATATATATATATATATATATATATATATATATAACGGTGAGTATTTTACCCCCTTTCTTCATTGTGTAATATGTTAGATTGAAAAAAAAACTCGACCATTGTACAAACTTTAAAAATATAAAAGAAGTTGAAGGAATGTTTGAGACATGATTTATATGCATTGTAACTTTCACTAAAAATTATCTTGCATCAAGAACATTTTTCATAGGTTTATTTGATTGCAGAATGCGATTTTGAAATCATTTTGAAAACCTTGTGGAGTCAATTACGTTGTGAAGCTTTCGTTTAAAAATATTTAATTCCCACGTAGGTTGATATTAATTACATAAGATCGAGATGTGTATTATACATGTCCGAGCACATGTAATGAAGATGGTTAGATAAATAATTGAAGAAATATACAGAAATTGATTTTGCCTAAAATATAATTAGACCTCGTTCCTTGTTACGGCCTCTCTACATTCCAGCTGATGATGGTGGGTTTTTTTTTTAATAAATACAATTCCAGTGTGTTACTCTGATCTTTATATTCCTTAAAACAGCAACGTATCTGAACATCACATTGATGGCGGGAGGAATTGTGGTCTTTCTCTCCACTGTTGGACTCATCTGTTTTCACAAATCAGAAGAAGAACCTGTTCCAAAGTGGCTGGTTAAAACACATAAAGGATGGATCGGAAAATTGGCGGGAGTTCGAGAAATTACTCTTTGTTGCAAATCCAAAGACAAAAATGAGGTGGACACTATTGATAATCCTTCCAGTGTTTCATGTGACGAGCCTAAAGGAGAAGACAAGGAGATCAAATGGCCGGACATCACAAGACTGATGGACAAGTTTTTCTTTCGGTTGCTTATGTTCCTAACACTTTTGCAACAACTTGTCTTCTTTTCAATCTTTTTATCGAACTTTAATTAGAAGAACTCTTACTGTGAAAAAAGTTTTTTTGCGTGGACCCTGAGTTTTTTGTATATAAAGTATCTCCCATGATTTGTGATTGGATATAATTTTTATCTAATGAGTTGACTGGTCTTTTTTTTCAATCCTCGAGCCTTGACAAGGGAATAAAAAACGCATGAGTTGGATAAAAATCATATGTCATATGTTATGTACTGTTTTTATGTATAATTCATTTTATTTGACTTCATCACTTTCACGAAAAAACCACTGACACATCACAACTGTTGATTTGACAACGACGTCATACCCTAACAAAAAATATTATAGTAAATTATAGTTTACTATAGTTAACTACAGTATTAAAGTTTTCACTTTTTTAACCCTACAAGCAATCTTCTTAAATTAAAAGGAAATATTACTACTATATTCACATATTATTTCATCATTGATATGTATTTTGAGAAATAATAAGGCTCTAAATCTTAAAAAAAAATATCCAGAATAAAGTTTCATAGTAAATCAAAGAATAACAAAAATTAACTTTACAGTACACTGTATAGCTAACCAAATTAAATTTTTGTTAGGGTATGACCGATAACCATGCATAATGGAGTGTTTTGAAAATTTTCTGAATTTCATTGTGGAAGTGGGAGCCATCAAAAACACAATAAACTGATTTTTTTTTTCATAGCATGAAATTGTTGCCTGAGTGGCATTAATATTATGACTGCTATTGTTTAAAAATTGCATTTGTACTTTCTAGATAAATAAACTGTTAATAAAACAAATAGCATACCTTTGTATAAAAATTCACCCTTTCACAGAATTCAAAGTGACTGTAGTTAAGTAATTTTTATTGCATTTAGATACCCAAGTACAATTTATTTTAAAACAACGCAAGTAGAATGTTATATTCGCTGTCAAGGGGATTTTATTTAATAAAATTAAATTATGTAAAGCTAACGAACATAAATCGTACTCAAAAGTTCAAACAATCTAAATTGAGTGCAGAGCAAGCATGGGGTCATTCTTAAGCACAACATTTGATGACAAAGGCATGCTGTTTGCTATAAGTAAATGTAATTTAAAACGGAATGTTCATGATATATAGATAATAAAATAATTTAGTTTGAAAATATTTAAAAACGTACTTGGAATGCATTCTTTTTAATAAAAAAAAAATTCAAAACGTATTTTTTTAAATTTATTTTTGTATGTATTTTTATTTAAAAGAGGTGTTCGTTTAGTTTGTGCATGTCAAGTTTTCTTTCTTTATTTTATTCAGACTCCAATATTGATTGAAAATATATTACTTTTTGTTATTATTATCTTCAGCTTTTAAGATTTTTTTTTTCACAAAATTGTGAATAACAAGAAAATCATCCATCATCCATGTACTCGACACCTTGAGAACGGTAAAAAGAAGGTACCCTTTCGGACGTCGTTCATTGTGTACATCTACATGTAACAAGAAATTATTCTTGAAAAATAACATCGCCAAGAGTTGTTATATACGATGTCATTATATTTCAAATAAGCTATATTAATTTAGAGTACTAGAAATTGCGCATGCTCAATCAATTTTTGAGATTTGGCCGGAAAATTGGATGACTCTCAGCACAAAGGGTAAGAAACGAAAGACAAGTCTTCCACTACTTCAAAAAATTAACGTATGGGGAAATAGTTTTTTAAAAATGTTTTATTAACGTTTACGCATAAATGCTGCACTCGTTTAGAATAAAATATGGCAGTGATTAAATGAGACGTTGGCAGTTCAATAAATAGAAATGAATATCCGGGAGCACTGTAAGTGGCATAACACTGTAACTAACGTGTCCGGTTTCACTGAGAACTGAAGGAAAGTGTCTCTGTCACATGGAAAATGAGGGTAAACCAAGGGATGAAGTAGGTGTCCGTCACATGAAAAATGAGAGTCAAGCGAAGGCAAATTCCTCTCACACGGATGAAAGGTACACTTGTGAATATGTGCAACATGGAATGAGATCGAAATCAAAAAATCCATTTTTTTCAAATATTAAAAATCTTTTTATTGGTCACTTTAAATTAAATCGATTGACGTATTCGAATTGAAATTCACGCAGTCACTTTCTGCTCACAAGCAATCAATTAAAGTCTTCCATTTGGACAAAGCTGGCGACAGGATCGTCTCTTATTTGAACATATTGTTAAACATCGATAAACGAAACGAATATCGAAAGGTCTGCTACTCCTGTGTCGATAGCACGATGTTTCCACGCACATGTGGCGATATTCTCTAACGCAAGTGTTGCAATCACTCAATGCTGAAGGAAGTCCCATTAACAAAAGATAAACACACACCAAATGGACCAGTGCCTGAAAAATAATGAAAATTAATTGATATTAATAGTATAATACAATGTTGTAGAATCTGCTACATTTATCATGATAACATGTTTATTTATTTTTTCAATTAGAAAACGGAAGGTATTGTTTTCTCATAAGTATATGAACAATACGGAAATGTTACTGATTGCAATACTGTTGATTTAAAGGAAATTCTTAGAGTAGTTACCTTACAAATCATATTATGACGTGAAACTACATTGTATGTACATTTAACCTTATAGAACCCCAATATCCCCAAAGTTTATCATTTTTAAATAAATAAAACTTGCATGATTTCACATGAGAATGTTTGCTTATCAAGATTCATCGTTTTGCTGATTTTTTAAAGATCTATTATGGTTTTGTTTTCTTTATTTGTTTATCTTTTCTTTAATTTCTCTCTCTCTTTTTTTTTTTTGGGGGGGGGGGGGATATAGATTTCGATTTTCAAAGGTCGATTTTTTTTTTTATAAAATTAACCTTATTTGACCTCATTTTTACTGCTTCTCATTTAAATGTATGTTATCTTTCAAAGCTTGGAAAGTTTTTACTCGATTATTTGTAGTGTGAAAATAAGCTGACATTACGAGTCTCACAGTGATATCGAAAATATCAACGACAAACAACTTTGAATTACATTTATTATCGGAAAACTTCAACACAATTGCAAATACATGTACTAGCATATTAATTATAAGATGTCTACGTTAAACTCTGTCACATTTTGAATAACCATTTCATTAAAAGGTATTATCAAGATTTACACATTGCTTTTTAGCCTATTTTTGAAAGTGGTTTAGGAATTATTTTCTTAGGAGGAATCAATGCAAGTTTTTTTTCTTTTTTGAAGGATATGCTCTGTTACACGGTGTATATAAACTTTTTGGAACACATATTAAATTTTTCCCTTCCAAACCAAAGTTATGCTGATTCAGGAAATAACAAATAAAAAACTAAAATCTTACCGTAAGAGTAAATTCAAATAAAATTTGTCAGACCCAGACAACTACACAGTGCAAACATATGTTAAGAAGAGCATCGCTTTAAAGAATAAATTCCTTTATAAATATATTTAAGAACAAGTTTCATGAAAGACAAATGCGCAGTTTCAACTATATTTGTTATCGCGTGTGGTCACTCAAGGTCTGTTAACAATGTATATGCAAGGCATGGTATCTCGATGAATGTGTCAAAAAATCATTTTCTTGGGAAAGGCATTTTGATATATAATTAGCCATATTTTAACGTTCAATCACAAAGTAAAAATATACAAAATTACAAACTAAAGATTATATAACAACAGCCTAGCAATAGGACATGTGATAAATCTTAGAGATTGAATTTTCAGCTGTCCAGCAAAAATGTTGCCATTATACATTGTTTTCATTCCCATTTTAATCTTCTTTTTGGAGCCGTCACGGTAGCTCAGTTGGTAGAGCGCTCTCTCCGTGATCGGAAGGTCGTGTGTTCGAATCACGGCTGCGATTGACCTAAGTCGATAAAAGTAGGTAGCAACTGTTCCTTCGCCAAGCGCTCGGCACTTTGAAGTGAAAGTTGAGGGTCTTTCCGATGAGACCTTAAAAACCGAGATCCCGTGTCACGGTAGGCGTTGGAACGATAAAGAACCTTCACTGCTTAATGGCCCTGAGTGCCGAGTAAAGATCTAAGCCCTTCACCGGTATATGGTGACTTCTATATATATAAGTGAAAATTCGAGAAGGGGACGTAAAACAACATACAATCAATCAATTTTTCAGGAAGATGGGAAAAACAAATGTCTCCGGCATTAAAGGTTTATTTTACAGATAAAGAAGACATAATTAAATTCGTTTTTATATAGCCAGCAATATTTATATGATATATCATAATAATGATATTCAAAATGCATTTTAAAGCTTTAGACACTCAAACAAGATTAAAACTTACAATGTAAAGTGTTATAAAAGAATGGGTTTTTTTTTGTTTTGTTTTTTTGTTTGTTTGTTTGTTTTTTGTTTTTTTTTTTTTTTTGGTTTTTTTTTTTTTGGTTTTTTGGTGTGTTTTTTTTTTTGCAATCTGATAGAATCTCCTTTTAAATTTAAAAATATTATTCTAATACATTTTTATAGGTACACAGCTGTCTTCAGTAAAAGAAATTAAATTGTTTTTATGTAATCCGTTTTTAAATAATGACACTATCATAATTATGTTATAATTGTACAACTCGTGTTTATGATGAAAACTTTTAAAAAGCATCTTCAAACAATTTTCAGATGTTTATATCTTGCTTTTAAATGAAAGATAATAACAATAAAGGGAAAAAAATCATTACACAATATATAGATTGTCTAATTTATTCATGAATTTATTTTTGTTTATTTCTTCATTATGTATTATTTTTATTTATTTATTTATTGAAATTTGAAGGGGGAAATTTGAACTGATTGTACCTCTATGTCTTTTATAAACAGTACTTACAATTAGAAACAACAAAAATTTAACCCAGCACTTTGTAATGTAAAATATTCGCTTGATGTCAACTAGCAATAATAATCTATCAAATAGTTCGAAGAACTTCTACGAATACATGCAGTTCATGAACTTATCTGTGGTTTAGAGGCCTATATATGTCCGTCTTGCACCCGGAAGGTGTTGGTTCAAATCTCGGTCGAGTTAAACAAGAGAGTGAAATGGTCTGAATTTTATAAATTTATAATGAAAAAAAAAATGGTCAGAACGATATACGCTCTAAAACTGAGCAAGACAGACATGATTTATCTAAATCTGCATTTTTTTTTCTTGAATGTTTTAATTAGAAAATAATTGAGAAACAAATTTTTAAAGTTAGTGCTTTTGTATTTCGTTTCCATACTTCATGGTTACAAGTATGAAAGTGATCACAAAATTCAATTCATTAACTGTCTACCATGAGTTTTGAATACGAAATTTTAGCGATCTGATTTAATGTATATCTACGGATAAAGATTGAGGGGGAAAGCATTTTTTCTACGTTAATTTGATAGTGATTCTGAACATTTTGAAACTTAAAACCTCAGATCTCATGAGGAAAAGGAAGATTTAATTTATTAAAAAGGAGTTTGGCAACTTCTAATATATATGGAAGCAGAACAATATGTTGCCATGAGGACAACACTTTATACAGAACTACTTTTAACATGGGTAGTATGAAAATAATTTTATGCAACACAAAAATGGGGTTCTAATGGCTATATAGCTATAGTATTAATGCATTGTGGGAATCAACTTTAATTCAAAGTTTGAGATCCATCGCTTTTCGTAAGCTGCACTTTTTCATTATGCTCAAATTTGTTTAAAAATATAAAAGTTTCAAAGTCGAAATATCGTAAATGTTAAAACGTTTCATGAACTGAAATCTTCCAACAGAAAGGTGTAAGTTGGTATTAAATGAGCCGTTATTATTATTATTTTTTTCTTTCTTATTTTTAAAAAAGAAAACTCGTAATAATGTTTAGGAATGATATTTTTATTACTGGTACTAAGTACATGAAGGGCCATGCGAAGTTATGCTATCATTTGTTAATTGTTTCATTGATTGATGGTGAAGTCACATGGGATACAAAAATTATTAAGATAAAAATTTCAATTCTACATGTTTGTTCTAACATAAAAGATTTTACAATAAAAATCGATTTGTTTTTTGACCAAACAGCCCGTTTCATATTATTGAAATTATTGTACATATAAAATATTCAAAATTTTGACTAATTAACCATTCATTTAACAGTTTATAGTCTTAAGTATTTCTCACTTTTATTCTTAATTCCCTTGACATTAAAAAAATTAACATTTGTTCTAAATCAAATGAATATCCCCAATTTACCAAAAATCCCTAGAACTTTATTTTCTATCAACTAATCAAATGCATCGTTAATTCAAAAACACGTGTTCACATACTTTTGCCCGCGTCAAATAAAAGATTCAAACTAATTAGTTTTAAAGAAGTTCATGATCAAATAAAAAAAGAAAAGAAATAAAAATGCAAAATAAGGCGACATTATATACAATTTATTCACTAGTGCAAACAAAAAAAAAACGAAAATGATCATCTTTCTCGGTAGATTATTCAAATATTTGCGCAATTTTATACATATGCGTATTTATGTAAGTTGTGAAATACAAGTGAAAAAAGGAATTCCAGAAACTGGTCTACTTACCATTTCCTCAGAATATTGTGTCACACCATAAAAAATGATTTATTCCAAAATTGCCCAGTAACAAAATAAACGTGAATGCGTAAACCGGAGATTTGCTGGTATGTCGCTTCATCGCGTATAATATAATAATACAACAATCCGTAAAACCAGAAATGGCTACTTAACGTGTATTACTTAGTGCTTCCTTTATAGGACATTGAGTAGTACTGATAATATTGTACAGCTCCCATCTTATGGGGCCACGCGTCCTGTTCTAAAACGACACTTCAAAAATGGGAGTATTTTATTCTGTTCTACATACCAAAACTATGTCTCTTTTGTTTTTTTCTTCTATATTTAAATATGTCAAGTGCACCTGGCATACATATTTTCACTACTTATCAAAAGTGCAATATGCAGAAAGAGTCAACTGTTTAACAAGAGATAATGTGCTTCAAGCCCCTGCTTATGAATCGGAAATTGTTCTTTGGCCTTGTCCTCAAGACAGTTTGACTAGTCCTCCATTAATAGTTTATAGTATTGCTGCAAAAAATTAATACTGAATCCACTGCTGACACAATAATCGTATAATTTAAATTCACAAAATAAAATTTCTAGAGCACGTTTTTTACTTATTAAAAAGAGGTCATTATTTGTCTGGACTATTTAGATTTCGTTTAATCAGCGTTGTTACATGTAAGTTGCTATCGCCCACTTAATATGATGTATTCAATTCGTTATGCAATTAACAACTAGCATCCTGTTAGCGATTAACCAGAAACAAGATTTGAACATTTTAGAAGGTGACGAGTGTCTATTACCTAAATCTTCTCTTCTAAAGTTTCCAGAATCATTTATTAACTTTTTTAAACAAACTTCTTACTTGCAACTGTCTATAGCTACAGTCAATTCAATTTAGCAAAATCTGTTTTTAGCTCACCTGAGCTGAAAGGTCAAGTGAGCTTTTCTGATCACATTTTGTCTGTAGTCCGTCTGTCTGTCTGTCCGTCCGTCTGTCTGTAAACTTTTCACATTTTCGACTTCTCCAGAAGCACTGGGCCAATTTCAAACAAAGCATCCTTGGGTGAAGGGGGTTCAAAGAACTATATGCGGTATATGCATATTTTTGACCCCACAAAAGATCTTGAAATGTGCTGAATTGTATATATTGTATGAGAAATCTAAATTAACAAAAAATATTATAGTTTCAAAGTAGGTTATTAGCAATTTTTGTTCCTATGACGTCACAAATTATTCGGATTTTGTGTTGTTTTTCAGAAAGATGAAAAAATGGACAAAATTTGTTCAATTTTTAGTATAAAATTTATAGAGTGCAGGCCTGCTCCAGAATAATATTGACATATTTCATTGATATTATCATTCTACACATTATATCAAAATATTGAGTCGGAGCAGACCTGCGCTCGGTGACTTTTACTCAAACTATTGACGTAATATACACCTTTTTCTGTATAATTCATGGAAATTTTGAATTTATGTCATTTTTCTGACGTCATATCTAACATATGGTGTGATGGATTATGAAAATATTCAGTGCTTTGATGTCTGCAGATATCTCCCTGTTTTAGAACATAATTATATATTTCTCCGTCAAAGTTTAATTTGGGGGGGCAAATATTGGTCATTACTGAATATAGTCCTTTGCTCAAATGAAGGGTCACGCCCTCTTCCAAGGGGAGATAATTAAGAATACGTGAAAAATTAATAGCATCTTTAAAAAATCTTCTTCTCAAGAACCACAGGGCCAGGAAAGATGAAACTCATAGGGAAACATCTTCAGGTAGTGTGGACTCAAGTTTGTTCGAATCATGACTCCCAGGGGTAGGGTGGGGCCACAATGGAGGATCAAAGTTTTACATAGAAATATATATGAAAAATCTTTAAAAATCTTCTTCTCAGCAATAGCAAAGCCCTGTTTGGTCATATTTATATGTAAGCATCCTCAGGCAGTCAAGATTTAAGTTTGTTCAAATCATGACCCCCGGGGGTAGGGTTGGGCCACAATGGAGGATCAAAGTTTTACATTGAAATATATAGGAAAAATCTTTAAAAATATTCTTCTCAGGAATAGCAAAGTCCTGATTGGTCATATTTATATGGAAGCATTCTCAGGTAGTGTAGAACCAAATTTGTTCAAATCAACTCCCGGGAGTAGGGTGGGGCCACAATGGACGATCAAAGTTTTACATAGAAATAAATAGGAAAAATTGTAAAAATCTTCTTCTCAGGAACAGCAAAGCCCTGATTAGTCATATTTATGTTAAAGCATCCTCAGGTAGTGTAGATTCTATTTTGTTCAAATCATGACCCCCTTATGTAGGATGGGGCCACAATGGAGGATCATAGTCATAAATAGGAACATATAGGAAAATCTCTTTTTCTCTTGTTGTGCTACCTAGTAAATGCACAGATTCGATTAAAGCAATTATTTAAAAATATGCACCAATAGAAATAATTTGTATAACTCTTAATATGGGGAATATTTCTCCTATAAGCTTAACAAGGATAAATTGCAAAAAAAAACTAGAAGTTAAGGACTGCGGCACTCACCAGAGTCAACAACAGCTCTTTAAATTAAACATAAAAGTAAATGTAATCCATCAGAGTAGACAATGTTATAACATTTCAACAATGAAGCAATTTTGATTTTGTAAATTGAGGCTTGAATTCTAGCTAACAAATTCTGGCTTGGCGTTCCTTGCAAAAATTTGATATTTCTATTTAATTCTTTGACCCTCTTATATGGCCTCACCTTATTACAAGAAACCTAATTTGAACAGACTTAATCTTCACTATGTGGATGCTTGTATGTTGACATGGCTAAGTAAAACCATTTTTCTGTTCTGGAGAGTAAGATTTTTCTGTTGTGGAGAGTAAAATTTTTGCTATATATTCCTATAACAAGCTTTGATCCCTATTGTGGCCCCATATACATCCTAACCCATGATAAGAAGAAATTTCAATCTTCACTACACTGAAAAGTTTGAACATTAATATGACTAGTTCTAGGGGGCAACTGAACTTTACCGGTACGTACAAATTACATGGAAATAGCACGTGCTCTTTCTCTATAAGAGAGTCATGCGTCAGCGTGACGATTTCGCTAAAAACGCAATAAAATGCAAAATAACGTATTTTTTGAATTCCTCGTCATTTTTTATGTTAATAAACTTCGTTTAATCAACGAAGTTATTAATTAAAACTGAAAGCACTTTCAAAACAAACCATTCGCTTTCATTCCGTCAGCCACATTCCAAAGTCATGACGTTGTTAAGCACGTGACTTATTTCAATGCTGTGATTGGTCAAGGTAAGTGACGTAAAATAGAGTTTGACAGTTGCGCTAAATGTAAACAGTAAATCAGCTGATTGTAGTACTATGCCTTTTGTTTACGATGATTTGTACGAGATATGCCGTGAACGGAGATTTTTAATCGATTGGCTGCAAAATTTTGGACTTCTTGGGAATTTTAGTGGGAAATGTGAGTCTTGCAATGATGGAAATGTTAAATTAGTGGAAGACAAATCTTACAGTAAGGATGGTATTGTTTGGAGGTGTAGCAATAGACACTGCAATAAAAAACGTCAGTAAGAGAGGGGTCCTGGTTTTCCGGAAGCCATTTACTTCTAGAGCAGGCAGTAAAGTTTACATACTACTGGGTATACGAACTACCCGGGGATTTTATTGCTAGGGAACTTAAGATTGGAAGTGACCACACCATTGTAGACTGGAAAAAATTTGCAAGGGAGGTGTGTATCTGCATCTTAAAACAGGACAGTGAGAGGATTGGTGGATCAGGAAAATACGTGGAGATAGACGAGAGTAAATTTGGCAAGAGGAAGTACCATCGTGGTAAGAGAGTGGATGGTGTTTGGGTGTTTGGTGGGATTGAAAGGGAGTCCAAGAAGTGTTTTTTTTTTAGTAGTTGAAGACAGGAGCGCAAACACCCTGATTCCTATTATTAAGAAATTTGTAGAACCTGGAACCATTATTTTATCAGACTGCTGGAAAGCCTATTCTAGTTTGAAATCGGAGGGATACGGTCATCTAACTGTTAATCATTCTATCGAATTTAAAAATAAAGACACTGGAGCCTGTACAAACCTTATTGAATCTACCTGGAACGCAGTAAAAAAGTCTCTACCCAAAACCGGAACGGAGAAACAGCACTACGACAGTTATTTGATTGAATATTGCATAAGAAAGAAATATTTGAAAGACGTAGACGACAAATTTGCCTCCTTTCTTTCCCTCATCAAACGTATTTACACCTGCAAAAAAAGACAACCATTGGCCACTTTGACTCATAACAACAGCGCAGACCATCTGAATGCTAGCGCAGACTTATTTGATGACTAAGGTAAGTTTAATCACATGTTTAGTCATATATTGGGGGCTGCCGCCCCCAAACCCCTGCTTAATTTTGCTAAAACCCGCTGTTTATTTTTCTTTCGCTTCCTAACGAAAACAAAATGACGTCGCCCATCATAGTTGATACGTTGCTAAGTTTTAACGCCGCGCCACCTCACGCGCGGATCTAGAATCAAAATGGCAGCCGTACCGGTAAAGTGCATTCTATCCCAAAAAAAATTAAATTAAAAAATAAAAAGAAACATGTTTTTTAATCTTAAAAAAAATAGCCAAAAAAGTAAACTTGAAAGTATTTTAAAAAATGATTTTAATGGAAGATTGAAATAATAATATTAATATCAATTTTGAACTGTGAGACTGAAAATCCCTCAAATGACATAATATGGATATTAAAAATATTCATAACTATAGAAAATAAATAAAATTTATAACATATAATAAATATAATTTAAAAAAGAAAATATAATAAATAAATAAAACTTGAAAAATAAAAATATAATTAAAGAAAGCAATTTAATCGTCTAATTGATTAGTCATTTTGCACAAAGTGTTGGTCAACAGTCGATAATTTGTACCAGTCTACAAAAAGAGTATACTAAGATCTTTATTAGTATAAATTGTAAGAAAAAAAAATCGCTTCTGTCTTGCTAGTAAAATATGAAGAAAACAGTGATCATGCTAAAAAGTATATTTAAACAATACAAGTCGTGTAAGGCAAACACGGACCTCTGAAAACAGAGGTGGGATCAGGTGCCTTGGAGATGTAAGCATCTCCAGTTGACCATTCCGAATATTAAAGAGATGTGTCAGACTCATCACCCTATTTGTAAGTAGCCTGCCTCGAGTTAGATATTGTTCGCACACAGAAAATGATTTCAGCAAGCTTAGTGAAACAACTCGGAAAAATAAACTCTATATGCAGATGATAATTGGTAATTGTTACATAAACAAGGAAAGTTGTTGATAGAAAAGTTGAAGTCAACACGTTTATCATAAAGTTTTATTGTTAATTAGCCATATAACCTTTCTTTTCTAAAATATTAAAGATGAAGCCGGTATCAGAATCTGTGGTGTCTTTTATTTCGAGTTCAGCGTAGATAATACTAAACAATAACCCATAGAGAAAATGCTTAAAATTGAACAATGAAATATTTAATATCAACATGTGTAACTGAATGAATCAGTACTTTATAAATTCGTAGTGTGAACAACAAAGTCAAATTTCTGTAAAGTCAATTCGTACAGCTCAAAAAATTAAATAAGTAACTACTTGTAATCTAACCGTACGAGACAAACAAACATGACCCTGTTTCATTTAATGTCGGCATCAGAATACATCAAACATATGACATATTTTGAAATCTTGAGTTCATTCATAGCGACAGAGTGCGATGACACTTAAAAGTTTTGATGTTTGTGGTTGAGGCATTCCAGAAAAATGTAGATGGAAAATTAAAAGTATTTAATCCCTTTAGGAGCAAAGGGTCAAATATGTACAGCAACAATATTTGGTTTCATCGCTAAATTCCATGAATCAAACAGAAACATAGAAGGAAAGTGTGGCTCTACATTGTGGAAGGGGACATACCTTCGAACGAACTTTATAGATGAAACTTAACAGTTCATGTACGTACTCTTGGTGTATTTAGTGCCAATAGGTTTTTCTTTTACTGAGCAGCAATTTATCTAAAAATGATCCGTTCATATTAAAAGATACTGGATGGAGACAAATCAAAAACTTGCATATACAATGTTTAAATATAAAATAAGATACATGAAATGAATTAGAACACGCAGTAATGAAAGCTGAAATTCTAAACATAGACAAACTATGAACTAAATAATGTAGCAAGACTACATAACTTAAGAAGGTAACAAAACTACAGCACCTTAGTAGGGTATCTTGACTACAAAACTAAATAGAGCAAATAGACTATAAGACCTACATAGGGTAGTAAATAGACTACAAGACTAAATTAGCGCAGATGGACTAAAAGACCTTAGAAAAGATACAAGATCACAAGACTTAAATTATAAGTTCTAAAAGGGTAACTAAACTACAAGATCGATGTAGTTTAGACTGGATCATAAAACCTAAGTAGGGTAACTAGACTACAAGACCCTAGTAGGGTAAATTGGACTACAAGACCTAGACGACAAAACCTAAGGAGGGTAACTAGACTGCAAGATCTAAATAAGGTACCGGTATCTTGACTACAAGACTTAAGTAGGGTATCTTAACTACAAGACCAAGATGGGTAACTAAACTACATGTACAAGATCTCTGTAGGGTAACTATACTACAAGACCTAAGTAGCGGTAGATAACTATACCAGAGTGCCTAAATAGGATATCGATCAACAGGTTACAAGGTTTTAGAGTTGCTCTTGTAACGAAGTGGTAAGACCATTTTCTCTAGATTCGCGGAGTAAGAAGTGATCCTTAAGTCGCAGGTTTGAATCCCACTGCGGGACGTGGAGACCGGTCCTTCGAATGAGACCGTATAAACCAGAGTCCCGTAACGCATTAGTTGCTGGAACGAACAAGATCACTCACTGCTCGAGGGCCGTAGGTGCCGATTACAGGTCTAAATTTGAAGCCCTGCACCGACAAGTGTGGCTTCTCAATATGATTGAAAAACTGTCGAAGGAATGTAAAACAAACAAACAAGACTTAAAAAGGGTAACTAGAATACAAAACCTTAAAAAGATACCTAGACTACAAGACAAAAGTTAGTAGACTATAAGAACTTTGAATGGTAACTAGACAATCATACAAAATCTATCTTATATTAGTAGGGTAACAAGACTACAAGACTTAAGTACGTAACTAGAAAACAAGACTTAAGTACGTAACTTGAATACAAGACTTAATTACGTAACTTGAATACAAGACTTAAGTACGTAACTTGAATAGAAGACTTAAGTACGTAACTAGAAGACAAGACCTAAGTAGGTAACTAGATGGCAACACCTAAATAGGGTATCTAAGAGATCTAGACGTATTATTTGCTTACACGATATACCTTGTTGTTTCAGTTTATAACTGACCTACATAATAATTTCATAAGAATCTTATTTTGTCAAGTAAATTCCACTGTAATATGAAACGTAATCCAAATGCTTTTATGCTCCCGAGATTTAAGTTACTAAGGTTGACGGGACAAATACAGTATAATATGTCCAAACCGGACACCAACGGTTCCATAAACTTTGGCCGGATTAGATAGAATCCAGAGTGCAGGAAAAATGCAGGAATATATTTGAAATTTATTTCCGTTGTTTTATTAACACGTTCAATGCATATGTTGGAAAATTATAATTATATGACAAAATCATTCTAAAGTCTAAAATTATTTGAAAGTATCGCATGACTTACACTCAGTTTTTCATTTTCGTTCACAAGGCTTGAGACTTTTAACGTGAAATGTTAACGGAGTCAAAATCTACAGACATTATTAATAATATCAAGTGCGGATTTTGCAAGTCGGAAAGCGCGTTCAACTTAACCATAAACACAATTATTTACGATTTGATAATTAGTGAATTGACATTTTAATTTTTATATTAACATTTATGTTTTCCCTTCAATGCTATGGCGCCATTTTCAAATAAGACGTTTGAGTTTCGATCCCGATTTATATTTTGATTTGTAATTCGTGTACCTATATCGTCATCGATTTTATGTTATACTGTGTGAGCAAGTTCAGCATGTAAGCATTTTTAAAATCGACTTGTAACTTAACTTTTTATTTCTTTATATTTCTTAAAGTTGGTTGTGTCACCGCCGCGTTTCAGTTCGTCTAATGACAATTATGTAAACACACGTTAGCACATCTACCACCAAAGGTGTTAATTGCATTGAAGTGTCTCGGGTTATTCTACGTGACCGGATTAGATGAAATAATTACCTTTAATTATGAGTAGCTGGGACCAATTTTACCGTTCGGAATACAGAATAGACAGTATCCGGACTACACGGAATTTTTTATAATACATTTGTTAAAGAAGTGCATGGGACTAAAATTTATCGCCGAAATGGACAAAATTCCGGAGTACTCAGAATATTTGGTGAATATGCGTCTTCACAACATTTAAGTTGGCCACTTATTCAGACATAAACGATTCAGAATAAGATCATAGAAAGATTTCATTTTATGTAAAATTGAAGTTCGATGTCTTCTGTCAAGCACAGATACATGTACATTGAAATTTTTTATACCCAGAAATAAAACTTACAGAAACTACCTCAGACAGAGCAATATAACATAAGCACAAAATCCATGAACTTTAGACCTTTCTGCGTTAACTTGGTCAGAATCGCCATATTTAGAAAACCTGCATAAGCGGAAGTATATAACATTGTCCAATAAGGCATAAAAATTTGAGTAACGCCTCTGATTCTAGTTCAGGAACACAATTGTTTACAGTTTATATCCGGGCTAAACTGGCAATGATCGTTCATAGCACGTTCCCGCCACATTTTTACTAATTGCTGGACAAGTGCATTGTCCTATTATACAGCGGGGCAGAGATTACTGTACTACTAATACTGTTGTAAAGGTTAACAATTGTCCTATTTGTTAGATCACTCATTGCCTTATTTTAATGTTTCAAATGTTGACGTCATACCAAAGTTAAATACACTTAGTTCAACAAAAACCACACTGACAATCAATTTTATTTTCGAGTTTCATAATTTTTTAATCACTGTAAAAATCTTTCATACAATCAAAGAAAAAGAAGATAGAAACATTATTTTCAAATCTAATTATAAGGAAAAATTATAAACAATGCATTATGAAACTTTTTTTTTTATTTTTTCAGATAATTTTCATCTATAAGTATTTGTATGTATTGAATTGATTTATGTATTTTATTTTTCAATGTAGTAGTGTATTCAAATAAGTCATTGTTTTATAGATTTTAATTCCCCAATGATGTTAATCGTTAAATATTTTGTTCGCACCTTTCATTGGCGTTTCTTAAATGAGGTTTGCTCTTTCAAAGTCTTTGAGTTTTCCATATCAAGGAAACCTTTTCCATTCATATCATCTAGAACATCACAATTTTGCAATTCAGCATCAGAAACCTTCAAATGTAGAAAAGAGCTTGATTTTCTTTTGTAGAAATAATCAAAGAAAGTTGCACTAAGTAAGAAAACTGTATACCAGTGTAGTATTTCTTCTACTTGAGTTAGCGTCTTGAAAGAATAAAAGAGAAAACGCCAAGAATGGTCGTTAAAAAGAAACGAACTCATGAAAAAAATGTTTGATATACATTTAACATCAAAATATATTTCAAGAAAATCTTCATGATTTGCCAGGCGCGGATCCAGGAATGAATTCCAGGGGGTCCACCCCAGTCAAAAAATTTCCTACCCAGAAAGAGTTTTCTTGACAAGCAAAAAAAACTAAACTCCTTTCCCAAACATATCAAACTCAAAAAATATCTTGACAAAAAAAAAGAACAACAACAACAAAAATCCATTTCTCAGACGTGAAAAATAACCTTTTTCGTGATGGTGGTGGTGGTGTCTACGTTTTCTAAGGGGGAGGGAGGTCCAAATTCATTTTTATTTGCTTCAGTATATACTTTAAATAGCACTGCGATTTCCAAGGGGGAGGGGGGGGGTCCCTCTCTAGATCCGCGCATGACATAATTTGTTACAATCCCATAAGTATTGAATTTACCTGCCTGTGAAATAGCATTCACAGATCAGAGAGGGGAAGCTTTCTTTATACTATACTTTCATGCAAATAACTTGAATTTGATTCCTCTTTTTGATTCGAGTACATTTGTTTAAAAACACTGTTACCCTCTGATGAATGATGAAACGACGCTCTACAGCGCAATAGAACTTAGCAACAGTCAACACTGCTTGACGCGGCTATCTTAAAATAAATCTTTCTTTGCCCTCTCCCTACCGACTGGCTTAAAATGGGCCAGCTTAAAACTTTTTTAACCTCCAGAAAACGATATTTTGTTTTTTTTACTTTATCCCCCTGAATCTTGTCAACAAGTATGTTGAAAATTTCTGAAAAAATTTCCCACCTACCTACCGACCCAGATTTTTACACTGAGTCGGGAGAGGGCAAACCACCATTATAATAAAGATGATCTGATGTCTATTTTTTCCTGAGATAAATAATCTCTCCTTCTACTTTTCTAAATATGAAACCTGATATTTTCACCTGGAGATGAATACTTCACGACTTTACCTTTTTCAGAGGTGAATACTGCGGATGGTGATGTTCTTTAACTGGATTATTTGATGCTTTGTTGTAAGCTACAAGGAATGCTAGTCTTCTCCTGTCACTAGTATTGACAGCACTCATATGCAGTAGATTGCAGTGAAAGAATACACCATCGCCTGGAAAAAAAGGCGATTGTAAAGTGAAATGAGAAAATGGCTTGGCAATGGACAAAAGTCTATGGAGTTGTTAAATATGACAAAGAGCTAGAATCACTTTATGCATAAAATGTCCCTGTAGATATGCCAATTTATTGACCAACACCCCGTGTACCATTTTCAATATTAATATAAAGTAGAGACAGTGCTTTCAGTTTATACAACAGGATTTCCTTTGAAGAGTCCAGGCATTGAAAAACTGCAGTGTTATTGAATTTTGCAGAAAACAGGTGTTTTTGAGAACCTTCAACAAAGAATTAAAATATGAGCACACCCCTCGATCCAAAAATTAAAATATGTTTTATAATCTTCACTAACAGTTCTTTCATAAAATATTTACACATTTTGGATCGGAGGTTGTGCTGTATACGAAATATTCAATAATGGCATTATATTTTGGCCATTTTTGAAGAAATATTCAGGATATGTGAATAATGACGCAATTTATGACGTCATAATGCATTGACTAGAAAGAAAATTACGTCATTTTCAGTAGATATTCATTCACCAAGTGCTCAAGTATTATTTATTGCCTTGTTGACTAAAGCTATACAGTTTTGAATTTTCAGAAATTCACAGAGCCAAAAAAGGCCCTAAGTGCCTCTTGCTCTTTATAATATTTTTTTAAGTTTTGAGTTATGATCATTCGAAATGCACGCAGTCGTATAATAATCCAAACATGTTTCAATTTAAAACTACATTTTATATGGTTAGATGTACAGTATTTTAAAAGATGTTTTTCACTGCATTGGGGTCATAGAATCTAACATTTCTTAAAAATCTTGTCTTTAAATTCAGAAAGAATAACCTTTTTGGGCTCCTGTACGTCAATACATATAAAATACATGGCCACTCTCTTGAAATATAAACGATATTTGGGCGAGGGTAAGAAAACGTTATAGAGGGCGAGGCTTGCCGAGCCCTCTATCAAGTTTTCGACCCGAGCCCAAATATCCCTTATATTTCAAGACCGTATCCATGTATTTTGTTTATCTTGTAACATATCTTTACATGACCCCCAAAACGAGCTATTCTCAACCGATTTAGGTACATCTCTCAGTTGAAACTAAAACCCCATAGCGTAAACATTGCAATATACATGACGTCACAATGCTTTTAGAACGTCGGAATACATGCACGAGGCTTTATTAGGGCATTGACCGAATAAAGCTTTGGTTTATTAGGTTACCTTTATTAGGTCAATGCAAGGGGTAGTTGCAGGATAAATATTGATATCTGTATACAGTTTCCAGTGATTCCCTGATTTAGTTTTTAAATTCCCCACGTGGTATCATACCACTGATCAATCAGACAGGAATATATTAAAGACCTCAACAGTTATCAAAGAAAGCAAAGTGGATTGTATAATTGCCATCGACTCCACTCAATTATTACGCACACAAAAAATACCACAGGGGCGGAAACATTGGAGATATGTCTAGTACATGGTACTTCATTCCATCCATCGCCCCGTATTTAGTAACAAATGACGCAAATAGAGTCGTCACAGGAAGCATACAATCAAAAGGGGGGCTTATGTTGAACTTCACAATTTTTTGGTTCGAAACTCACTACCTAAATAGGTGTGAGCTACCAGTGCAGTGAAAATAAAATTTAACAGTGTAATAGTTTAACAATTAAACTGAATCAGAGTTCTTTTAGGTAGATTCAGAAATTAGATATATTTCGATGAAAGACGGACAGAAAATGATGTCATTTAGAAGTACTATATACGAGGGCTGATTCAAAAGCAATATCACAAGTGCTATTATATCTTTCAAAATCGAATGTTGTATATTGTAATACCTCTATTTTTTTTTTACTTATACCTTAAAATTTCATTGAGATATATGCAGTACATTTTAAAATATCAAAATAATCAAAACGTTGGGTCTCGTCTATTGCCGCACCGCAAGAATGTACAGACGTTTCTCTTTGGTTGTCATTTTCAGTTCGTCCTCAGCTAAACATCTACGCAAAAAGGAATAAATTTAGAAATAACATTTTGACAAAGTTCAAATAATTTAAATACAACAACTCAAAACAAGACGCTTTGTAGCAAAATGGTAATTGAAATTATTAAAAAAAGAAGCACGTGAGGGGTTTAATACGATATGCAGATGAACTTAAAATAAGTGCAAAAAAAAAAAGAAAGAAACGTCAAAACGACGTCTATAACATTCTTGCCGTGCGGCGATAGACAAAACCTAACGTTGTGTTTATATTAATATTTTAATAAAGTATTTCATATAACTAAATGAAATTTTAAGGCAAAAAAATCAGGATATTAGTATGTAAAATATTATTGATAAAATTCTATTATTAAAGATTTTACAGCAGTTAGGACATTAATGTTGGATCAACCCTAGTATTATACACTAGTAGACAATATGACTATTACCTGGTTCAGTTTCTATGAAATCAAGCGGACACACTTTCAATAACTCGTTGACTCTCTCTATTTTTGCGCCAGTTTCAGCACCAACTAGAGTATGCTCGATACGTCCACATTTGTGAGATCCCCTTAGGAGCTTTGTCAAACAAAAAAAAGTAATATATCATTAGGATAATACTGAATTAGTCAAAACACCACAAAAATCCAGAGAATATTATAATTATGTGATCATTTTTAAACGCTTTGAGATTTTTGAGATTTTCTTTTTGTTATTGATAGTTTTTATACTCAAAACCGACTCTTTGTCATGAGTTGATTTTTACTTTTGCATAGTAACTCCAATATTTTGAGCATTCAAAACGTATAATTGTGATAATATGGAATTTCACTTTATGACATAATATTTCTATAATACTGGATATTAATCAGAAACTGTCAAGTAAAAAAAAAACTGTAAAGTAAAAGAGGAAACAATTACAATATGTCTCCTTCAAAGATACCATACACGCATGTATATTTGAGAAGTATGTACAATGTATCTGTTTACATATGCTACAATTTATGCAATGATGGTATAATATACGTATATTTTCCAAAAATTGAACAATACCCTTTAAGTGTAAATGTCAAAATAATGCAATATGCATAACTATAAAGGTAATTAAAAATCTACTTGCAAACACCCGTTGGATTGGTCGGTCTTGTCGAGAGTGATGAAAACAGTTAGCATGTCTGGAAAAAGGCAACCATTTTGGTACCAGTACCTGGAATACATGTTTAATTTATAAAAATATTCTAAAACAATTTAATATATTTTTGACAGAAATGTTTTCCTCTTTATTGCAAATGGGGATACAGGTGTGCATTGACCTTCAGATTTAAATTATCAGCACTTCTGTATTCGTGCATACAATTATGCACATTATGTTTTGTTATACGTTTAATTGTTTTACACACCCATAATCCTGATGCCAGGCCCTTTCGCCACCTGCTAAAGGATCTTTTAAGACAACCTTGCTATGGTAATGGTAACATTCTCCTCCTAAAAGCTAGATATCAAATAAGACCTATGCTAATAACCATTTAAAACACATTTTAAACATAAAAGGAGGGATAAACAAATTGTTCAACTTAATTGATTTTAAAAAAATCCATCAATTTTCCAGAGGAATGTGTGCTTATAAATTACAATAGGCAACTGGAACAAAGTCAACCTTTTCTGCCGTTCCTGCAACTTTGTCACATCTTGCAATAAGACCCGTGATATCATTTCCGGGTTGATTCCAAGTAATCTGGGCACTCTCATTTCCATGGGTATCTTTGACCTGATCAAAATGTAGTGGCATCGAAAGCTTTATTTTTTGCACTTCACACACAAAAACAATTCTAATTGCTTGAAAAGACTTACGCCGAACTTGAACCTTTGCATTGTTTCATTGCACTCCACTACATTTGCTGCATTTTCCACTTCACTTTTAGAAAGCAAATTTCTAAATCATATGAATACATAAATGAATACCTTTTTATATATTAAAAAAAAACTAATCACGAAATGTTAAAATTTATACAAACGCATTTGCTGAAGATACCAAAATTAAGAATACCTTATGATAATGTAGCCGTCGTGGTTAAAAGCATTTTTCATATCATCCGTGACAATGAAAGGAGAAGTAATATAGTGATATTCTGTAGAGCAATGAAAGACAATCTTGAAAATATTTTGATTCATTAAAAGCTACCTATCAGTGAAAGTATATACTATCATTCATTCTTGCAGTTTTTGTGCTCAGAGTGATATAACTGTGCGTAAATTTCAATAATTAAACAATTCTGTCTTTTCTTTAAGCTAAAGTTATGGTGAATTTCTCTAGAATAAAAAAAATTCTGATGGAAATATTTGTGAAAAGCACGTTTCATTTGACCCAAAACCACTTTTATTTCACGTCGTCCAAAACTTATTACATTAGAGACCATATTATTTATTTAAATTGTATAGTACATTTTCTTGAAGAATTGCAAATTACCTTTCGGTATATATATATTACATAACTGTTACAGGTCCTTTTGTTCACTCAGACTATTTTTTGTATTAACATTTTTTGGGGATTTCAAAACATCAAACATTCAATGTGTATTTTCTGTATGATGCATTTTATTGCTAAATGTTACATCGACTTAACAAAATATTGATTTAGGCATGAGAATTAAAGATATCGATGTAGTTATCTCGATAATAGTTAAATCGATATTAATATACTAGTATTTCTAGGAGAAAATTTTGAAAATATTGTTCTCGAATTAATTTCGCAGGCGCTGGAATTCTAATGAAACGTCATATCACGGCACATGTATATACCATGTGTAAAATATATAATTATCATACGATTATAGAGAAAAAAGAAGAAGGGGTGAGGGGGCATGATTAGTTGAACTGTCCCAAATGAAGCAAATATCAATTTACATCATTCGAATTATTAAGAAATGAAATATATACATGTACGCAAGTCTATCAATAATTTCCTTTATTAATAAAAATCAATAATCTCTCTTTGAAATGAAAATTATGTGCTTGAAAATTATGCATAATAAGTATCGTTATGAGTTTTTAACGAAAATGTTTCTATGCCCTTCTCATTGTTTCAATGTTCAATTCATAAATACATATAGTACTAGTCTTATTCGTGGGTGAATCGAAAGTAATATTATACAAGTGACACTGGCTATGTACTCTGTAAATATTTGATGATTTATCACCCTGTGGTAAACATAGTTGTGAACCTCCACAGTCTTGACATCCCCTCCCTCAACTCAAAAAAATATAAGCAGTGAATCATGATAGAATATTTATCAAATAAAATGTACATCAGCACATCAGATTTTCTTATTACTTAGAATGATGTAAAATAATTCTTGCTTCATTAAAGCCAATCTGCATAAGCTTAGTCACAATATTAAGAAGGGGAGAGGTCAACCAAATAAATATTTGACAAGAAAAAAAACGAGAATTAATTATCCAATTGCGAGTATTCTTCTTTATTTTCCGGATATATTTACAGATGTATACTATACAGGTAGAAAAAAGCTGTAGGAGGGGCACAAAGATACTCTCGTCTCTTACCCTCTTCAAAAGTGTTGTTTGGGGCAGTAGCCCCCTATGACTATTGCCTATGAACTATATGCTAATGTCTCTTCACCTCACTTTTTCAAATCATTTTTGAATCTCAAATCAGCTTATAATCGTATATGATAGAAAATACATGGTACAGGAGCTTTCTCAGAATCCCGATCGCAAGTGAAGTGGATTTATTAGAATTCCCGTCTCTCCGAAATTTTAATGGCAATATTTTCTCACTTCTTTCTCGGAAATATTCACATATTTATATCGATATAACTATATATTTTTACATATCGGTATCACTATATTGATATGATTGAATATCTTGCTTTGGTTAATATCTTAGAATCAATATTGTTTTTAAATCGATAATACTTATAGCAATAAAATCAATCAAATAAAAGAAGGTGCCTTAAATTATGTAAAAACACATAGATGCAGTTCAAAATTATGTGTATAAATAAGGAGTTATAACACTTTATATTTTGATAAGACAATAAAATAGAAGACAATATATATATACGTTATAACACAACAAGTGTAGAGACCTCACAAGTGTAGAGACATTGACGCTTCCGTAGTCCATTCAGTCACCAGCGTAGAATTCCTAGGTCAAAATAACTATCACTGTCTGTAGAGTGCTCATTAACATGAAAACTGAAGAAACTTTTAACTTAGAATTTAAAATATGTATTGTAATCCATTTTAAACATATTTCTAGAAAATGCCGAATGAAAACGAACAATTAATGTGGTGTTTAAGCTCTTCAGAGGATTCATGTAGGTGCATATGATTGTTTAGGTACACTTCTAAATAATTTGGCTCACAAAGAAATTGAGATAAGCTGGATGCGTAAAAGTCTCTACACTTGTTGTGTTATATTTTTGTACATTGTCTTACTTTTTATTGTCTTATCAACATATAACCTATTATGATTTCTTATTTTCATTTACATGTTGCATTGAATCTGGGTATTTTCACATAATTTAAAGCGTCTTTTCTGTATGAATGATTTTATTGCTAAAAGATATATGGACTTAAAAAAAGATTGATTTGAAAAATATTGATTTAAGCATGAGAATTAAAGATATCGATATAGTTAGCTCGACACACGACAATAAAAAAAAAATATGCATAATAATTAAATTAATATAAATGTACTATAAATGTAATATAAATGTATAAATAATCTATGGGAAAAGTTTGAAAATATGTTGTTCTCCAACTAACTTCGTGGGCGCGGGAACTCTAATGAAATGCCACTCAGATTTATTGACGCCACATGCACAATGTGCCATGTGTTAAGTGTCAAATACATGTATTTGTTGTATGATCATAGAGATAAACGTATTGCAAAAGAAGGGGTTGAGAGGGGCATGATCAGTTAAATTGTCCATATTGAAGCAATACTCAATTTACATCATTCTAATTAATAAGAAATGAAATATATATGCAAGTCCAGTAATGATTTAATATTTTTTTTCTTATGAATAAAATTTATCAATCTCTCTTTGCAATAGAAATATGTGCTTACAAAGAATACATAATTACAGAATTAAATATTGATGTGACTAAAATAATTATTGAGCCCCCCTCCCCGTTGTTTAATGTTCCATTCATAAGTCCTATTCGGGGATGAAGCGAAAGTAACAATATTATGAAAGTGACATGTACACTGGCTATGTACACTGTAATATTTTATGTTTTTTTTTATTCTGTGGTAAACATAGGATCTGCCACATAGACGTGAACCTCCATAGTCTTGAATACCATCCCCTCCGAACTCAAAAAATTTAAGCAGTGAATCATGATAGAATGAATATCAGATAAAATTTAACTACCAGCACATCAGAACTAACTTCCTATTTCTTGGAATTATGTAAAAAAAATTGAGCTTCATTGCAGCCAATCTGCATGAGCTTACCTGTATAGTCGGAAAGTAAAAAGGGGAAAAGGATGGGGGTCAGCCAAATAAAATATTTGAAAAGAAAAAAGAGATTATCCAACTGCAACTATTCTTCTCTATTTTCGGGATATACTCAGGTAGCACAAAGATACTCTTGCCTCCCCCCTCTTCAAAAGTGGTGATGGGGACAGTAGCCCCCTATGACTATGCCTATGATTTAACTGCTGATGTCTCTCCATCCCCCTTTTTCAAAACATTTTTGAATCTGTATCAGACTATTACCGTATGGGATAGCAAATACATGGTACAGGAGCTTTCACTGAATCCCGAGTGAATTGAAGATTCATTAGAATTCCCGCCCCCGCGAAGTAAATTTAATAATATTTTCTCACTTATCTCTTGAGAATATTCATATACTTATATCGATATATCTATTTATTTATTTTTACATATCAACATCACTATATTGATATGACTAAATATCTTGCTTTGATCAATATTTTTAATTCATTATTTTTTTTTTAAGTTGATAATACTTATAGCAATAAAATCAATTAAATAAAAGAAGGTGCCTTAAATAAAGTAAAAATATCTGAATACAACTCAAAATATGTTTATAAATAAGGAGTTATAACACTTTATATGTTGATAAGACAATAACATATAAGACAATATACAAGTTATAACACAACAAGTGTAGAGACCTTTCCGTTTCCGTACCTGCGTGATAGTCAAGAAAGTCTGAACTAGTTCCATTCCCAAAAAGCAGATTTAATATATCCATCATGCTTATTTCGGATAAACCCTGTAAGTATTCTTTGAAAAATCCGATTTGTTTTCTAAATGTTTGAAATTCGGAGCATCTCATCCCCCCCTAGTCTACACTCCTAGTTAAAACTTTGGAAATTATTACGGCCCCGGATGGTCCTCTTACCATAACTAGAATACTAGTACACTCAAATTGAAGGTGTTTCTCTGGAATTTGTTTTCTCTAGCGTTTTTATTTAAGTCACCCGAATGAATTAGATGATTTAAAAATTATAGGAGAAAGCAAAACAAACTAACCTGTCATTATTATAGTAAAATTGCCAAGTGAAGGATATGATTGTCAAAATTGTGTTGGTAATGTTCTACGTATCAGAACCTCTTCAAATAGTAACACAATTTTGCCAGTGGAGTGTTTAATCAACATTATTATCTTCTCAACAGGGGGTGAGTTATCTAAGTACATTATCATAACCTATCATGGTGCATGTAAAATATGAATGGTCTATGTATTTGCAATAAGTCAAAGTATGTGACATATTTCTGCCACCACCTTTCAGATGTTAATGTCAATTTGTCAGATATTTATGTCAAATTGTCATAATTATATTTTTGCGTTTTGTCAGTCGTTACTTATTCATGTGGATACAATTTCAAAATGAAAATGTTTCTTTGCTCAATTTGTGCCATCCAGTAACTATTTTTTTTTCTGAAAAGTCGACAAAAGAATCTGAAAAGTTGACATAAGAATCTGACAAGTTGATATATTTATCTGACAACTCGACATAACATCTGATAAGTCGACATCAATATCTGACAAGTCGACATCATGCAATTATATCGACTTATCTGATATGCATGTCAACTTGTCAAAAAATTATGTC